CAGGAATGTTCCAAGTGGACTGTTGCACTGCCCCTCCTCCACTTGATGCTATTGCCTGGTAAATTGGAGAACAGCTGTGTACCTGGTTTTGGCAAACTGATTTAACAGAAGCTCCTAGAAACGTAAAAACTGAAGTATACAAGTTCTGCCGCATCATCTTACATAAACCATTTTTTGCAATGCAGCAACAATCTCTGAGCTAGGTCTGCTCCCCTGCACCACCAGCAGCAATAAAGAACAGCAGGTACTTCACTGACCCGATGCGGATCTTGAGCATGCCACTGAAGAGTTCAGGGGAGTTTGAGATGATCCAGCCAATATGTATGACGAGTTCCTGCTGCACTACGGCTTCTCTTTCATCTTGCAAATTACATTTTTCGTAGATGATGTTCTTAATCACTGCTGGGGATAAGGGATTAGAAATAACTTCTTCCTCTTGGCCAAAAGCTCCAAGTGTCACCTGCAGTACATTGAAAACAATTCAGATGATATGGACAGGAATAAAAGCACTGCAGAAGCAATTCAGAAACTAAACTCCATCAACTCTGCTCATTAAAATTTCACAATGCAAAATCAATTTCATGTCAATGGCTGATGCTTGTTAATACTGTTAATTGGATGCTACTGAAGTAATAAACTTCACTGAAGACCACAGTAAATATGGAATATATTTTTCTGCTTTGGTTATAATCATGACTGTATTTCATTGTGTTTCAGATATTTCAGCTGTGGAGCTCACTTCAAATTCAGAATTAAATGCATAGTTTTGTTTGCTTATTTCTAATACCCTCTAAAAGTTTTAGCCTTCATTTTAAAAACATTGCTGCTACTGGCTTAACTTCAAAACAGGAATCTTGTTCAAATTCTGATTTCTTTTTAACCTGCTGTCAGTAAAACAACAACATGAGTTTTCCTCCTGTAATTAAGATTATTAAGTGCTCAATGAAGAAAAATCAGGTTAAAAAGCTGAAAATAGCCTCAGATCATGCTGCATGCAGGTGGAGTTTCCTCTACAGTTATGGAGCACCAGAAGCACAAACCCAGAGCTTGGACTGAATTAAGACACAGACAAATCTGTCACAACAACATTGCATATAAACAAGTATACACATACACATATTTAATACAAGAATACATAAGTATTCAATTAGTATTATTTGGAAGCAGCTCTTCATGAACTTCATTAATATTATTGTGCTGGGGAAAAAAAATCATTTCCTCCTTAGGAAAAGAAGAGAGACTGATGATTAAACTTTGTTTGAAACAAAAACCTCAAAGCCTGACAGACCTTTTGCTCAGCTGCCACCCACCTCTGTCTTATGCTCAGTTACACAGAGGGGGTGGCTACATCTTCATTAAAGAACTCTTTAAAAAGGATGCCTTTTACTTCATCTATTTTTGTGAAATATGAAGTTGTATCTATAAAATCATGGAAAGGCTTGGGTGGGAAGGCACCTTTAAAGATCATCCAGTTCCAAGCCCCATCCAACCTGGACTTGAACACTCCCAGGGATGAGGCATCCACAGCTTCTCTGGGCAACCTGTGCCAGTGCCTCACTACCCTCTCAGCAAGGAATTTCTTCCTAATATCTAACCTAACCCTACCCTACCTCATTTTAAAGTCCCTATATTCCCTTGTCAAAAGTCTCTCTTCAGCTCTCTTGGAGCCCCTATAGGCATCAAATGGGTTCTAAGGTCTCCCCAGAGACCTTAAGCCTAAAGAGTTGTGTTCAGTTCTGGGCCCCTCAGTTCAGGAGGGACATTGAGGTGCTGGAGCAGGTCCAGAGAAGAGCAACGAGGCTGGTGAAGGGACTGGAGCACAAGTGCCATGAGGAGAGGCTGAGGGAGCTGGGGGTGTTCAGCCTGGAGAAGAGGAGGCTCAGGGGAGACCTCATCACCCTCTGCAACTCCCTGACAGGAGGTTGGAGTCAGGTGGGGGTTGGTCTCTTCTCCCAGGCAACAGCAGCAGGACAAGAGGGCACAGACTCAAGCTCTGCCAGGGGAGGGTTAGGTTGGAGATTAGGAAGAGATTTTTTCCAGAGAGAGTGCTCAGGCATTGCAATGTGCTGCCCAGGGAGGTGGTGGATTCCCCATCCCTGGAGGTTTTCAAGCTGAGACTGGATGTGGCACTCAGTGCCATGGTCTGGTGACCACAGTAGGGTTGGACTTGATCTTTGAGGTCTCTTCCAGCCTGGTTGTTTCTATGATCCTGTGATATCATGCCTCTTCCCCTCTAATCTAGATGCTGAACTCTCTTATCAGTATTAATCTGCCATTAGTTAAAAATTATTAGCCAATTGCATACCAATTAATATTATAAAGATATATTATTAAATATATCTTTATCTTCTCTGGATTTTTCTTCCTCAGTAAGGATTTCTTAAGTCATTGGGTACTTTCAAAAGAAGCATCTGAGGCCTTCAGAATTAAAAAGCCATTGGTTTAGTTTCTCTGTTATTATCCCTTAAGACATTGCTGAGGAGCAAAGACTTACCTGCTTGCCCTGAACTAAAACATTAGTAATAGATGGTGCAAGGCTGTCCACTAGTTTACCTAAAAGACTTGCTGCGAAGCGCACAACAGACCTGAGGGCAGAAAACAGAGCAATCCCACTACATATCACAAGCTAGTTTAATGAATTCAGACAGAAGTTTGAAATCTGCCACAGCAGAGATCTCCGAACTCACTCAGTGAACACATACATTATTTATAGAGAGGAATTTGGATCAGATCTTATGATCTATGAGTCTTGTATGGATTTCTTTTTTTTTTTTTTTTTAGTCTAGATAGAGGTTAATGGATCAAAAATATATTGAGTTAGAACTCATTAAACTACCAGCTCCTTAAAAAGCTGCTTGTTCTCTTCTCGGCATCATCCAGCAAACAGAGAGCTCAGAGATGCCAGCTCCTCTTTATGACATTTTCATCATTTTGCAAGATAGCCTTGGTAATTTTGTGGTCTAGTTAAGGAAGAATTGGGAGGATTTTGCAAGAGACAGTACAACATGTAACACCACAGCTTTGCTGTGTTCCATGCTGAGGTCACATTTTGCATGTGCAGCATGTAAAGAAGAGACTTGTGTAACCTGCTAGGTTAAAAACGAGCTGCAACTCCTAAGACAGACATTTTTTCCATCTATACTGTTCAAGATACAAATAATTTTAACAATAATTTCCTGACAAAACACAAACCAAACAGACCTGTAACTGAGGTTTTCTAGCACAGGTTTTCAGGCTACTAAGGATAGTTTATCCACAGAGATAGGGAACAAGTTGTAACATTCCACAGTGTTAGTAAAAAAACTCAAACAGTTGATGTTGATTCCTGTAAAAACTGCTACACACTTCTCAAGACCAAGAGCAAAGCATTTCAAAAATGCATTAGCTGATACTATCAAAATGCAAATAAGCAAAAAAAACCAAAAAATAATCTTACAGAGCTGCACTTCAGATTTCTGGGCACTTTACCTGTTTCCCATGTACCAGTAAAGTAGTAATATGTGGGGTTATAGAAGAAGAAAATTTCTGTGCAAATGCAGCACTGTAGCGCAACACCAACCTATACGTGTGTCACATGGCAATCAGGGAAGAGAAATGAAAAACAGTTTACATATTTTGTTTCTAAAAATACTTTTGATTATTTACAAAAAAAATACCACCGAGGTGTTTTTGGTTCTAGCTCATTACTGGCAAAGGCCCATTTAACTGCACGAGGAGACAAAACTGAGAACAGTTTTTATATTTACAGATTGATCTGTACAGTTCCAGAGAGAGAACAGAGTTCAGGACAACTCAGCTAATTTCTCTGATAACAGAAATTAAGTTTCTGCTGAGCTTCAGGGCAAAGAAATTAATAAACAAGGTGTAAATATCAACCTACTTGCTGAAACCTTTTAAAGTTACTGTGACAAAGTCAGGCTCAAAGCGAATCACTTTAAGGCAATAAATCTGTGTTAGTGCATCAGCTTAGCTGATTTATCTCTCATCACCAGCCTTGCCACAGAAAGCTATTGATAACATTTTATCATGCCCTGTAAGAAATAAGAATATTAGTATTCTTTTCTCATTATTTCAGTGTAATGAGAACTGTACATTGGCAGTAGCACTCGGTGCCAAAACAGCCTATTGGTTTAACATTTTAAAAGATAACAGTAAGAAAATACTCTTTTTTTTTAAAGCATGATAGACCAGATCATGCTGCCATGCACCAATACAATTGTGTCAGTAGAGCTGTCATTTTGTCCCTCTTTAAGTGTCTAAGAAACCAGCCTTACTCTCCATAAGCAGATTAGGGAAAATAAAAAGGGTGTAAACCGAAGGGAAGAAGATCTGTGTATACAAACCAGAGCTTTCTGCTGCCAGCACGTCTATAGATTCTTTCAATATGCTCAGCAACAGTACCTACAGGCATGAACAACAAAGAGAGAGAGAGAAACAAACACAAAACACAGGCCAAGAAGATGCACAGGTTTTCATTTAGTAGCAATAAAATCAATCTGATGAGATCAGTTAATTCTGAATCTGTTTAGTAAAGCACTTCTCTGTTATGCTTAAACATCTAAAATTTAGATGCAATCAAGTCCCCTATCACCCAGTGTGTGTTGTTTTGCTGGAAGCCAAACCAAGATTTCAGCTGAATTTGCTGCTCATTCCCTAGAGACACCTCTGATAGCACCTTTTCTTGCAACATACTGGGGAAAATTAATCTACACACAGATTTAGCCTATAAAGGTCCATCCCCATAAGGTACATCCTCAAACTGCAGAACCTAAGGCTCTCCAGCTTTTATTTTAGATCTGTGTTATTGATTGTGTGACTATTTAATGTCAGTCTCAGCAGCCCCAGCCGTAGGAGGCAGCGAAGTCTCAGTCAGTGACTCAGACCCTTTAATACAAGGTGCATATTAAAAAGGTTATCATCTCCCATTCTCTCCCATGAGATGGCACAAAAAGGTCTGCACGAGTTAGCTCTGAAGGGTCAGAGGCATGACAGTGCTTTTTTTTTTGACAAAAATGATTTCAGCAAAGTTCTGAAGTCAGAGGCATGACAGTGCTTTTTTTTTTTTTGATAAAAATGATTTCAGCAAAGTTCTGAAATTGATCATGGTGATCCAGTGGTCATGAGGACTAATGCTGGTTGTTTACAGAGGTTAGGAAATCTGCCTTGAGCTGTTTCTAGAGCAAAGGACTAAAAACTGCTCCTGAGGCTCTCAAAGCCCTGAGAACAGCACAGGTAACTAAAGAACAAGCTACTTCAGAGGCTACAGTGGCCTAATGTGCACATTCCAAACAGGACTTGGGATTCACGTTGCATTTCAACAATGCACTGTGTATCAAAAATGAATTTTATTCCAGTTGACATTGTTTTCCAGTCCTATGTGCAGTTTTGGGTGCCACAATATTAAGAAATATATTAAGCTATTAGAAAGTGTCCAAAGGAGGCTACGAAGGTGGTGAAGGGCCTTGAGGAGAAGCCACATGAGGAGTGGCTCAGGTCATTTGGCTTGTTCAGCCTGGAGAACAGGAGACTGAGGGGAGAACTCATCACTACCTACAGCTTCCTTACAAGGGGAAGCAAAGGGGCAGGCCCTGATCTCTGCCCTCTGGTGACCAGGGACAGGACCCAGGGAATGGCATGAAACTCTGTCAGGGAGATTGAAGTTGGGTATTAGGAAAAGATTCTTCCCCCAGAGGCTGGCTGGGCACTGCAATAACTCCCCAGGACAGTGGTCATGGCCCCAAGCCTGACAGAGCTCAAGAAGCTTTTGGCCAACGCTCTCGGGCACATGGTGTGATCCTTGGGCCTGTCCTGTGCAGGACCTGCAGCTGGACTTGGATGGCCCTTGTGGGTCCCTTCCAACTCAGGCTATTCTATGACTTTATGACATTTTTAATAAAGCATACATTATATCTGTATTGCTAATGTCAAAATGACAACTGTTCGATTCTATGACTTTATGACATTTTTAATATAGCAATACAATATAATGCATGCTTATGTCAAAATGACAACTGTTCATCACAAGAACAGCTGTCACAGCAAAACTAGGAGTAGGGCTGTGTAACATGAGGTGCTAAGTCACACTGCTTGGTGAATGACTAAGAATATTATTTGATCTAACATTCCTCTTTCTTTCTGAGGACTATTCATACATACAGAGGCAGCTAATAAGCAGTCTCTGGAAAAAACAAACACACACCAAACCTTGCAGCACAAAAGCCACAAGCCTCAGTAACCTCTTCAGAATTGTATGACAAGATTTTAAATCCTGTGCTCTAATACAAAGCCATAATACAAAATTAGAGAGTTTCACAGATGGATTGAAGTCAGATTACATGAAAATAAAATGAAAACTCAGACTGAAGCTTCATGTATTTCAGACTGTTACAGACACACAAACTTGTTTGGTTTCAGCTTTTTATACAAGGTCAAATCCTCTATTTTCTTAAATCTATGCATTCAGAATTACAACCAGATACAGCACTGGCCTACAAACAATCTACAGGAGTTCATATATTCAGCAGCTCATTCCCCACCAGACTACGAATTTGCATGTCCCATTTAATGCAGGAATTGCTTTAAATGGCAGAGAAAATAGCTACACAACTGCTGGCATGCACAGCTATTATTCATGTTCATTGCAACTAAACATACAGCTGCTTCCCCAAACACTCTGAATAGGCAAATGAAAGAAGCTCTTACCTTCCTTGGTGATAAAATTCGGTCCTTCCCTTTTAAGCAATATACTGGAGAGCAACGCTTGACTTGCTAGGCAATTGCAGTCCTTAAAAAAACCAACAGCAACAACAAACCCACAAATAGCCTTCAGATTTGCAGTGAGGCAAAACCAGAACAGCTATTAAAACTTCAAGTGAAACCAAAGGGCCCTTTTTTTTTTTGCCATTATCAAAGAAAAAGCCAACAAATTTTGTTCTTAAGGGGATTTCACAGCTATTTCAGACCCTGTGTATGCTGTATCCTTGTCACTGCTGCTCACAGAGGCTTCTCTATGGTTCATATCAAGTTGTAACTTAATTTGACCTTGGAAACATTTCCTGATTTTTGTTCAGGTCCTGTCATTTGCAGCAGAAATGCTGGCAATGACATAGGGAACCAAGCAGAATACTTTGTGTGATCTAAAACTGGTAGATTTCCTCTTGATACAGGAAAAATGCCAGGTTGGAACTTTCCTTTGCAGTCATTAAGAAGTTTCCCGTCTATCCACATGAACACCTGCTGCTCAGGTCTTTTTGTTTGTCAATATAACATGCATTCATAAGACACATGGCAAATGGATCCCCTTCTAGATGGTCATGGAGCACCAAAGAACACTTGGGTAGCTGGGGGAACTGAAAGCCAACAGGTACAGCAGGAAGGGCCAGAAAATCCTGTTATGTTAAGATAAAGGGCTGTAAGGAGTAAGATTCCCTGAGTATGAAGAGGAACATCAGGCATTTGATGTTTCTAGCTGTACTGTTAACACTGACCATGACACTAATCACGTTGACCCAAGTGTGCTGCTGTTCAGAAGAGAGTCAGCACAGAAATTCTCATTTCACAAGAAAAAGTTACGCTGTATTTTTATCAAGTTTTCTTACATTAAGTTTCTGCAGGATCTCATACGTTGACTTGGTTTTCCAATCGTTAATATTTACATCTGGTTGCTGCTCAAGTTCAGAAGCATTTGGAGTACTAGATTGTCTCTTGACTTTTGAATGTTTTGGAAGATCCAACTCCTCCAAACTCTTAAATACAGGAGCCCTGAAAAACAAGTTATTTCATTTCTTTGTAATTCATAAAATATTTTGATTGTCATATATGTGATCATTACTATTTACACAGAGCCTTACTCTTCTGCTTCAGTGATTCTTAGGAAGTCAAGTTGCTCAACGACTGCTCCAGATATTAATGTCTGAAAGGAAAAATTGAAACAGACTTAAAGATATGTATGCAGCTATATAGATGTCTTTTGATCTCAGTATGTTGCTGGGGGTTTCCACTGAGAAAGCAGTTTCTTTGTCTACAATTCCAAATATTTTTACACTTTCAGAGTATTTTTGCTCTTAAGGAAAAAGCTTAAGACAGCAGAAGTCTCTTGGGGCTGCTGTCTCTTTGCTAGTGTTCTCTTGTTCTTTTGCCTGCAATGTTCAGCTTCATCAGGCAATGTCCACCCCCCCAAAACTCAGTCTGATGGAAACACCTGAGCTGAAGGATTTGCATTCCTCAGAGCCCTGCAGGATACCTGTGTTCTGGATCATAATGCTCATTATTTCAGGGATCACAGAAGGACTGGCAGTTTTCCTGTCAGTCTCAGTGATGTTTCAGGCAAACACTACACAACAGCAACTCCTACTCTGTAGTCATTCCTTAATCCAAGCATGCCTGCCCTACATTTGCACATCAAATGCAGCTTACAAATACTTCCATCTCAGAAGATTACATACCTGAAACTCAGTGTTGCCTTTATCTGATGTAGTCATTACAATTCATTCACTCTGAATTTATACGAGTTCCCTATTTATCTACTGCCAGAGGAAATACATTGTACCACAGCATTTTTTAAGTTTGCTTTTGATAGTTCTCATTAGCTAAATAAAACTGAGGGTGTATTGTGAACTTTTATATTCCATTTTCCTTGTGCACGAGTTGCAATATTGATCTGCTATGCTGGGAGATGACTGAATATAAAAAAACCTGCTTGGCTTTTATTGCTTGTGTCATTCACTCTTTGGCTTGCACATCTGCCTGAACAGAGGATGACAATGACAGTGAAAATCTTCTGAGCATACACATTTTTAAATGAAATCAGATTTGGTATATTTTACAGGGAAGAAAGAGCATTGACCCAATTAGAGACACGTTCTCTCTAGGCATGTGTAACACACACATCTAAATGAAGCAGCTGAATAAAATTCACAAAGACGAATATATATTTGGTTAGAATAGATGAATGATTTAAGAAAACACCATGAATTAGACATGTCCCTTGTCCTTTTCCCAAATCCTCCCCTAAATTGAAACAAGGCTGACAACACAATGTGACAACTGTATAGTAAGGCTGAGAGATTATAGTTCAAGTGCTGGAGCCAGCACACTGTATCCCAGCAGGGAAGGCACCCACCACCTTCTCCACTGGCCTGAAAGCCAAGCAAGCCTTTGGTTTTAGTTATACCATGAGCTCTTTTTAATGGCTAACAAATAAAGCAAAGACCACTGACTGTCAACATCTTAAACCCTTCAGAAGTACTCTTTACTTTTTATATTAAAAGAAGGATCTTTCCAGAAGGTCAGTTGAGTCTGGAAGGGGAAGTTCAGTCTGATGGTTGTTCAAAGTAGTGCTTAAAGTAAGGACACATCTAGATGGAGAAATTGCTTGCCTGATAACATATCAGTTTAATCAATGCAAGGCAAGAAAGTCACTGTAGTTAAACTTGGAAAAACAACAAACAAGCCAAGCCACAACAACTAACCCTGGAGCCAAATGAAAGACTAAAATATAGACAACATGACCTGTAAGTGACCAGGAGAAATACATGAATATTTAAAGATTACAAGGCTATCTTAAGCCATGATAGCCAGGAGCATTTCATTTACAAATGACCCAGCTCTTCTACAAATTAATGATTTGCTAGGGAACAAGAAGTCAAAACTGTCTTTGGTCTTCTCTCTTACAAAAAAAAAAAAGTGTTCTTCAATAGGTGTAAACTGAGATGAAGTAGCACACACAAGTATGTGAAATCAGCACCTGTCTCAGCAATTTTCACATTTTAATGAAGCAATGTTCCTGCTTTAAGATTAATTCAAACAGCAAAGATGTCAAAACCAGATCTTAGTTCTTGTAAGAATTTTAATATATGTGAAGCACCTTTTTTTCCCCCTCGTTGATTACCTAATCAAAAGAAATCCCTCAGTGCTTGACACTGTGGCTTTATCCTTCAGTAGTAATTTCACAAGATTGCCTAACAAGAAAAGCCCTTCTCCCTTCTGAAAATCCTCTGTGAAGATTCTGACTTTCAAAAGACACATTAAAAGGAATGCAAATAAACCCATGTTTCCTTTGAGATAAACAAATTGTACCAAATGTCTTGAGTCTTGACTATGTGACACTAAATAAAATCCTTAGAAGTCACGTTAAAACCAAGAGCAGTAAGAATGCATGGACCAATAGTAGGAGGTAGGAACACAACATTCAGGAAAAGCACCATACCTGTACTCTGTCCACGTGAACTTTCACTCCTCCAACAACTCCCTTTCTAAAGGCTGCCAACATATCCAAGATGGGACTGAATCTGCTCCCTCTGAAATTTAGAACACAACTCCATTAATCTTGCAGTTAGGAAAATACCACACTACAAATCAGGGACTGAATCTGCTCCCTCTGAAATTTGGAACACAGCTCCATTAATCTTGCAGTTAGGTAAATACCACACTGCAAATCAGACTTTTAGCTCTCTCTACCTGATGTTGTCTTCACGGATCAGCACCACGAACAGCGGCCGGCCGTGCATCTTCCAGTACTGCTTAATGAACTGCAGCGCGTTCTGCGAGCAAACGACGTGTCAGCCACAAATCCCAGACACCAAAACAAGCACAGTGTACCACAACACACAGTGCAAGACATTAGAAGAGCTGTCTTAAAACAACAGCACTGAAAAACCCAACAGGTTAAAAGCACCTTCGCTAATAAACCACTAATAGATTTCTTCAAGGGCTACAAGCTGCTGCCCAGCCCTGCTGTTTGGTAAGTGCTCTGAGAACACTCCTAAGCATTTGTATCGATCATGGAGTAAAGCAGGAGACAGTGTGGTGTACAGAACTGCAGGCAATGGCCTTGCAGGTGTGCATGGGGATCCAGGGATTGAATCCCAGCCCCTAGCACAGAGTAACCAGGGCCACCTTCTGTGCTGTTCAACCCAGGGCATGAGACAGGCAAGCTCTGCACTGGTGCCCACCTTGCAGGAAGGGAAAGTGATCAATTTTCAACATTTGTGCAAAACTGAGTAGTATTTCCTTCAGGTAAGGCTTTCATATTGCCCTTCAACACCAGTCTCCTTCCTCTTTTCAGCCAAGAACATTTGCTTTCCCAAAGAAAGAAGTGATAATTTGCTTATTGCCCTACAGCATTCCCAATCACTTTTGGTCAGTTTCTTTGTCAGACAGAGATACTAGAACTCACACTGGGCTGACAGGATATTTATCTTAATACACTTTCCAGCTACAAGTTTATTTTTGTATTAAAAGAATGCACTGCAGAGTTCCCCCTTCAGGCTTCTGTTTTATCAGACATCACAGTTTCTTCTTCTACAGACTATTTCTGTCAGTTTCTCAAAGGAGAGTTTACAAATACCTTAATGTCATCAATCAACATCATAACATCCTGAGACATGTAGAAATCACTGAGATCAAAAATGATGGAGTAGCAAACTACAGTCTTCCCTAGTATTCGATAAATCTGTTGAGAGAGAAAACTTCCATTAATCTTTCCTTTAAAATATTTGAAGCCCTGAAGTAGCTGAAGATGAAAATATATTTTGAAACTAGCAAAGTAACAATCACTGTAGAACAGCTGAATTACAAAATTTCAGCTAAACCCTCCATATGTAATTTGGGGCACTCTGTTTTATGAGTTGTGCAGCTCTACATTCTGTTTCAGTGAAAGCAGTTCCTTCACCCCCACTCAGCCTGTCTGGCCAAGGATTCCTGTACGTGGGTGTCTAGGGAACATGCTCCACTTGACAGAGCACATTCCCAACAGCCAAGTACAAGGGCTTCAAAATAAGACCTATCCATAAAATAAAAGCACATTTCAGTTCTTATTTCGAATCATTCAGAGACTAACTCAATGTTCATCTAAAATATGCATCAATAACAAGAATATAAACATTTCTTGCAACCACCTTTGATGTTCCAAGGCATCCTATAGGTCTGTCAGGTCTTCCAGATAATCCCAGTTTCTCATTGACCCCCAAATGGAAATAAGCCTGTGGGAAAGAATCATGAAAACTGATGAAAACCCAGACACCAGCCTTTCTTATGCTCCTGCCACGTGTCATGGAGAAAGCTGTGTGCATTCTGCTTGACTGGAAAAGGATTCATGAAACGTGGTCACATTTCCTTTTGTTTTTTTCCCCTTTTCTTGTTTCTTTAACACACACCTACATACCAACAAGTACTAAAGTAAGAGAACACTAGATTTGGTAAATGTACAGTTCAAAGACCAAAGATCCTTTTGGTAACAACAGGCACCTTTACAGCAAAGAGCAATCAAAGACATCATTAAAGCAACAAACACAAGATGCAAGAAGACAAGACACATCCAGTCCAGTTCCCCACAACCTGTCACTCCTCCAGTGTCACTCACAGCACTTGTGGCAGATCACAACTTGCTGCAGTTGGGGTATAACTGTTCCTCTTTCCTCCTGTTAACAGTTTTGGGAGGCTGAAAATCCAGTTAACACTGGATTACACTAAGGGAGAGTTGTCTTCACCAAGGTCAGGAAGATGCCGGGCAGGATCCTGAGCTAGGACTAGGACACATGGGTGTAACTTCAGGCTTGGGCAAAGCTTTTCCAGTGTGGATACAAAGGTAAAACAGCAATATAGGAACTCTTTAAAGATCTTCATTCTAATTTTAGTTAAAACCTGCAAAAGAGCAGACTGTGTAATGCCTGTTACAGGGGCTGCACTATGAAATTCTAGGGTGGCTTATGTCTACTGCCTTAATCCATTTCTTTGACTCACTTGCTTGTTTCTCCATCAAGGTTCATTTAGCCTACTGAGCTACTAATATTATTAAGATTCTATTATTTACTCATTACACTTTGAAAGTGGCCCAGGTAATCAGCCTAATGAGGTAATATAGAGCACATGTGCTTCAGTATTTCCCTGAGAGCTCTAGGCATGTGTAAGCCCCAGTGCCAGCACATCTTGCCACTGCACTGCAAAGCACAAAGAGGCAAATAACAAGTCTAATAGCTTGACATAAACTCCTATTTCTACAAAAGAAACATAAGAGAGATAAATAATCTTAATTGCAGAATTCCTTACTTTGACAAGTTCTTTTTGAGCCCATATCTGAATTGGTTCCACCTGCTGGGGGGTCTGAGTTAGGATTCCATATGTGTTCAGAAACACTTGTAGGCTACAAATGAAAGGAGGACAAATTTAGTGACAAATCACCGAAGAGTCTTAGGTTTAACAATTATCTTGGCAGCTGACACGCCAAGAGCAGCATTTAATTCTACTCCTCCTTGAATGTCTTGAGCAAATTGAAGGTGTCTGTTGTTCAACCCTTCCCTGATGTAGTCATAGCACAGAATACCTACCGCTGGCTCTCTGCTATCAGCGCCACGTGCACTACCAAGTCATTTTCTAAAGGACCCTAGAAAATAATGAAAAAGTTATTATTAGCATTGCTGAGTAAAGATTTCATTTGATACAGCACAAACAGGGACAATGGCTATTTACACAGCTCACAAGTATGACAGACATCACTGTCTGCTTTGCTTTTTCTACTGTGAACTAACTGAAAGAAAAACACAGGACTAAAACTTGCAAATCTCAGTGTGTGGGAAGACTCTCCTATCAGCAATGCTCCAGGAGTGCATTTAGGAGAACTAGGAATAAATAGGTTTCTGGCAATCATTCCATTGTTTGGATCAGTTTGGGTAATTTTTAGGTAAAAAGAACCACATAGGGAGAACATTTTGTTCCATACAGACATTTAGAATTTGTCCAATGTATCCCCTAATTGTCTGACACGACATAAGGTTTTGATACACATTTCTGTACAGAGTGAAATAATTCAGCTTTTTGGGTAAACAATAATATTCACCTAGAAATAAGAAACTGATGATTTCAAACCTTTATTCTGAAATATTGTGGTCAGACTCTTTACAGCTACATGAGAGATCTGTTACATTTTACAGGAGAGAACTGCACTTCCTTGCATTGTTTATTGCTCAGACAGCTCATGTTTGAAATAAACACAGTATTTGACATCAGAAAACCATACAAATAGGAGTGAATTCAACATGTGGGGTGAAATCACTGACTTGACTCCCTGGCTCTGGAAACCTCTCCTATCCCTGGCAGCACTGCAAGCTAAAAAATGTTGTGTCTGAGTTATTCCTTGTTCATTTCTTCTCTGACATTCAGTGAGTGTGAAATCTACAGCACTAACAGCAGCTAACTAAGATTTTCAAGACAAAAATGGGTTTTGTCTACTTTTGTCTAGAGACTTCACAGAACATGAATGACACAAGTTAAGCACATCTTCTATTGATTGGACACAAAGACAGCATTTTCTGGGACTGCAGAGGGATGGACATATTGATTCAGAACACGAAGTTCAGAGTGAACATTTGCTTGCTCAGGCATCTGTGAGCCTTGAAATCAAGTTAGATCTTAGAGATTCGCAGTAGAAAGTCGTGACAACATTTTCCCAAAAGTCTGCCAGCACTACATTTCCACTAAACATTTTGGGAGTTTGTGCCACATGAAATAAGTTTGTGATGAAAGTACATGCACAAAGAGACCCAGATGAAGAGGTCAGAAGCTCAAGTGACATGAAAAGATCTTCCTGCTCAAAGTGATTGTGCCATCAGCTGCATTTATACCAACAGTAGGAAAACTCAAATTCTCATACTCAAACTCAATTCTCTACCATAACCATTGTTATAAAACAAAAAGCCAAGCCCCCCCCAACCTGAAAATGAGAGAGGCCCCTCCAAGACTGATTTACAGACTGCCTGTGATTTAACTTGAGGACTCACAAGTAGTGGCCTTGAGAAACACAGTTCAAAATAACAGATACAACACTCAAAAATTAGGCCACCCTTTACAATAATGACAGTGCTGTATAGCATTTCCTGCAGAGTTTCTTAAAAGAGAGATGTGGAAAAAGCATCTAACTCCTCAATATTTCACTAAATACATCTTGTTGCTGTTCAAAGTTCCATTTTAATGTGTTGGCTTTCACATTTGCCTACTAAGGCAAGCTCAGGTACTCACAGCACATCAATCAGTGTCTCCCCAAGACCCCACACAGAGCCCCAGCCCAGGCTCACCCTCCTGCCTTGTGCTTCCACACTGGATAGTGGGCACAAGATTCTGTTTCAACTACCTTCTGCATGCTGTGAGGAGGATAAATATACCTCAGAAGACCAAGATAAAAGACTGCTTAGTTGCTCTTTCTCTCCCAAAAGGAGAAATAAAAAAAAACAAGGAACAACCAGTTTTTACCAAGGTTATAAACCGTTGGAGGTAGGATAAAGGGAAAAGTCCCTGACTCCACTCCTGGCACAGGCAGAGAAAGCAGCTCAGTAGTATTATTTTGCTGCACTCTCCCTGGACAGATGTTATCACCCTATGCCTTTCTGCATACATTGCCAGGAAATCTCAGAACTCTGAAAAAAATCCATTCATTCTGAGCACATGACAAGTGAGCACAACGTTCCAGAACACTGATGGAGACAGCACCTCCTGGGCTTTCCAAGCATATGGAGTGAGGTGAGGCAGACAGAAATAGCAGGCAACAGAAGACACTGTACTTCACCCACACGACCCACCTTTCTGCTAGAAAACTACAGCCAATTGTCATGGCACATCTGCTTCTGGAAGCAGCTGAGCAGTGCTGAAAATGCTTTGTGGCCATTGTTCCCAGCACACCAGACTTGGGAAGTGAAGCACAGTGTGTTCATACATGGGCCTCAAATTCCAACAGAGCATTTGACCATCT